AAGACGCGGAGAACGTCGACGTGGCCACCTTCGGCCGCGGCTTCAGCAACTTCGCCGCGCCAGTGCTCATGCCACGGGCACTTGTACGCATCGAGGTACGACGCAATGTCGGCGCGGCCATGCTGGCTCGCCACCTTCCACGCGGTCGCTGGCCACGGCACGCCGTGTGCTCGGAGCGCCCGGACGACGCCGAGATGACCATGTTCGATGGCGCGCTCGATGGTTTGGAAGAAGCAGCCATCCGGGTACGCGTCGAGGAGGAACTTGACCGCGACGACGTTGCCCGACATGATGACGAGGTGCCACTCGACATAGTCGACGGGCAGCTTGTCGCAAAAGTGCCGAATGACGTCGAGATGGCCGTAGTAGAGGCCATAGTAGAAGAGTTCGAGAGCGATGCTGAATGGCATGCGCTTGAGACCGCGCGCACCATGGACTTTGAACCACGCGGGAAAGATGTCGTGGATCGGCGCCAGCGCGGGCGGCAGCGTTGCAAGGACGTCGGCGTTGTCCCAGACGAGGGATCGAAGCGCGTGCAAGAGCGTATGGGTATCGTATGGCACGCCGAGTTGGAAGGACATGATTTCACGCAGGAGGTCCGTCGAGTGCCACACACACTGCATCCTACCGAATGAAGCCGCCGTCGACAAGGAGGGTGCAATTGGTGCTACAGAAAGGCGGCGTGTCGATGGGACGCGCAGGTGCTCGGATTGAAAAGCGTGGCGCTTCAAGCTTGTTCGGTCGGTCGCCCACGCTACGCACGCTTCCTGTCGCCGCACGCAGCTGTCGAAAATTCCTGTTTCCCGCATGTGATTGGCCAAAATTGAAACGCTCCATGACGTGGCAGCGCGTCTTTGCAGCCTGCAGCCACCGCCACATCGCTTGCGTTGACGTCAAGTCGCCCACGCGTCGTGATGGCTGTCTCGATGCATTCCGCGTGCGATGCACATGGGCAAAAACTCGAGGGTGCATGCGCACGACAAGTACAGAGTGTGCATGCATCGGAAGATCAAACCGATGCCCAAAGCGACGACAGCGATCGGGGCAGGCGCACGCTTTCTACACAACGTGTGCTCGCATCGAAAACCTGTCGTCTCCCGCGGAGAAGGCCAGCAACGGAGTCCGCTTCGTATGGTGGTGTCTTGCAGCGACACGAAGTGAACCTGCGACGTGTCTTTGCTGCAATATCGTGTCAAGTATCCCGTGACCGTATCCATGCTCCGATGCGTGCTACTGTACCCACACCGCGTTGACACTTGCGCATCAAATCCCATCCCATTCCCCACGCACTCCTTTCCGAGGCATATTGCAGCCATGTTTGCTGGACGGTGTTTTACAAGAGGCGACATCAAAAGACCCACAAGTGCAATCGGAGGAAGAATGTTCTGCCTCTTTCTTGCGTTCAAAATTGTTGTCGGCTCTATGGTGCGAGTAAAGGCGGTCGTGCACGGCGGGTCGTTCGACGAAGTCACACGCCTTCACGACAGCGTGTGTGCCTCGACGATAGCGCACATTCGAGTTACTTGCACTAGAGGTGCGTCTGCGCGATCCTTGCATCCAACGCGATACAGGCGCGGCCACTGACATGGGTCACTGATGCCGTTTACTTTGTGTTACACTCTGGTCCGTTTGAGGCGCTGGAGTATCGGCACTCGCGGCGTTACATTCTTATGCTTTTGAACGAAGACCCGACGGATGCGGAAAACATAGGCGTGGAAAGCCGTCAACAGTTGAATCTAGCATCAGATCCCGTCCGTGAGCCAAGGCCATTCATGTCCTTGGTGCCCTTGGTGCTGCCTTTTACATTTTCGATGAGATGCGAAGTATCCACTTCAACATGATAGGGACTGCAATACAGACACATTTGACGGCAGGCTGTGTATCTAGATGGATTTAAATACGTTTTCACCCTGGAAACAATTTGCC